AAAAGCTATTTGCGAGTCTGCGATTGATATTAATAGACATCGCCGTTGTGAGTGGTAAAATAAAAATTGTTGTTTATGATGTTAATAAATAGTTTTGTTTTGTTTCGTTCAAGGTTGTTAGTATTTTACAAATAACTCTTTGTAAAATCACTCTCTTCTAACTTTTCAGGCTAGTCTTCTCTACCTAATTTTAGTGGCCATTTTTATTATTTAAGTATTCTTGAACATCATTGTGAAGTATTACTTAATATTCGAGTATAGTATCCTGTAACACTATTTAATAATTCGCAATAATGTACTCGAATACTTAATAATAAAACTTGCTACCGAAATTAGAAAAAAGTAACCTGAAATTTATACGTACAGCACCCTCCTTATTTTTTAGATAGGTAGGTACCAGAGCCGTTGGCACGCTCACTCCGATTGTGCATTGCGCAACTAGCGATTGCCACGGTTTCTCAATAGAAAAGATGAGGTTTGTCTATATTAATTTTTATTCAACTATTTTTGTTTGTTTTCAGAATACCTGAATACCTCGTGAGTGTAAGAACCGCAGGACCAACCCAATGGTTCATTTGTGGAATGCCACATACAGTATTTATTATCCAGTAAAGTCAGATCATAACACGTAAAAATTAATGATTTACGAGTATAATGTTAGTAATGTAATCCTGCGAGATTGTTGACATTCTACAAATAACGCGATTTATATCCGAAAAAATAGTTGTTTCATTTTCAATGTTGAACAGTCCTTAAACCTAAAAGTGGATATCAATTATGTTCGCGCACCAACTCTGGTCCACGCATCTGTAATCGCTCAAATGGAGTTACCCACTTTGCTACAAAAAAGACTGAGCTTTGCGCATCTGCAATTGACGCCTTACTTTCTCCAACACGTATCTTATAAAGAGTGATTATTCAGGAGATGGCAATTTTTCTATTTATTTAAAAAAAAAATTAAGAATAGATAAAAATGTGAATATGAAGGAAATTTGATGTGAAATCGACCTGCAAATATGTATATACAATGCAATTTTTGCATTTCAAATACTTTGTTTTTTAAGATACGAGTTTGAGAAAGTAAGGCGACGAATTGCTCCAGTTTTCATTTGAACGTTGAGCGAACGCGAATGCACGAACATACTGCGCTCCGTATAGATTTTAAGACTTTCGTGGTTATTCACTAAATGATTATCACTAATATCAGGTTTCTTACCACGGTATGACTTCTTTTTATTTTCCCGATATTTCGGAACGGTTGCACGCTCAATGGTCACAGGTTAGAAACCTGATATTAGTGATAATCATATACTGCGCTCCGCTTTGTGTTCGCGAAAAAACAATCGCAAGCAAGCAACGTTGCCTGCGAACGTATCCACTATGGAGCAGTTGCGCGAACCTAATGGATACCCATCAGAAGTTAATAAATATGCTCATATTAGTCAAAATGATACATTTAATTTTGTTTTACTTTAGTATTTTAAATGATATGATAAAAAAAATGATAAAAAAAATTCGATGACCTATGTGTTCATATGGCTTGCACACCGGTTTTCATGGTATCACCATCTCTTAGCTCTTCGCCGAGAAAACTAACTTTTCAATATTGTCTCGGGGTCTGAGATTTTGTGGTACCATCGTGCTATTATTTACTTTGGAATCAGAGCAACGTATGTGATGATGAACGATGCCCTGTAGTTTTTTGGAGCATTTAATGCTCGAACGTATATTTTCTAGGACCAGCATATCACGTCATTTACCGGTAGGTAATTAGATCAAGGTACTCGAAATGAATACAAGACGAAATGAACTTTAGTCCTAAAAGTCACTCGTAAGTTCCATCCATCATTTATCATTTTAGCAATTCTTTTAGCAACAACATCCGTTGAACAGACCGTACAAATAATAAATATATTAATGTGGCAGACATTAATGCCAATTATCCGGTTTCAATCTAAGGAATTTCCTGTACTAGAGTAGGTAATGGAATTCACCGTGATGGGCACTATCCGGACCACCAAAATCAGAAAAGTGCAATTCCTAAATTGGTCCTACCGCTCTCGTAACTCCTCATCCAGCGCCCGCAGTTAAAATCATTAGGCCATCGAGGTCAACAACCTGTATAATTTCAAATTCAACTAAAAAAAGGTATTTTAGGTGATCGTAAGTTAAGAGAAAACCATGGGGTGAGGTGAAATAAAATACAACTTTGAGGTTTCGCACCAAAAAAGTGCTTTTTTTCTTCCATGAGATCAAAGTGATAGTAACATGTAGGACAATATTATTAAAACTAATCATCTAATAAACAACTGTTAGACAGATGAACAGCAGAGAGCCCCGTTTGCGAATAAGGATTTTTAAGTTTTTGTTTCCATAACCGTGTAAGGTACTAATCATTAATATGTATTACTCAGAAGGTAATTTCCATAATCGTGTAGGTGATAATTATAAACATGTATAATTCAGAAAATACTATCATATCCGTACACTAATTATAAACCAATACAATTCAGTAAATAATAATTTTCATATGCGTGTTTCCATATGCAGTGATTATAAACATGTTTTCGTAACAGTGTAAGTACTAATTATTATCGTGTATTAATCTGAAGGTAATTTCCACAATATTGTATGTTCCACTAATTATCGTGTATGATTCTGGTGGTAGTTTCCATACCCGTGTAGGTACTAATTATAAACATATGCAATTCAGAAAGTAATATCCATATATTTACACTCAGAAGATAGAAATGGTTATTTACCGATTTAGCTAAAACGTCTTCTTTGCATCTCTAGAAATACAGCGTTATGGAGTAATTTCAAGACGGCTCGATACATGATCATATAATATTGTGGACCAAATCTCACCTTTCGGCAGTTAAAGTTTAGCAGCAGTTAAACTAAGGGTCCAACTAGTAACTATTACGACATACGAATCCGTAGGTTAGGTTCTGATACAATATGTAGTGTTGTAGGAAATAAAACCTGTTTTTTTTTTTTTTAAATCTATTTCTATTTTTTAATAATTAAGTTCTAACAACGTACATAATTATAAAGGAGAGCGTCGTTTTTTGTTTTTAATTTTACTACTTCTACAAATATCAATGGTTTATACATAGTCATATTTGACCTACATATATAAAATCATTTATGGCAGTGATAGATTAATAACATCGCGTCGCAACAACTACTAACTAAACACTAACAAGGATCTACGATCGCACCTAATCACAATAGAAGTAAAATCTAGAAATAGACTAGAAACATGAGACTGGTTACACAGGACGACTTTTAGCAGCGATACAAACGCGCGACTGTATCGATACCAACACGCGATTGCATGGATGCAATCCCCTAGAAATCGCAATCGTAAAAGTAGACGATTAGCGACTGCAACGCGTTTGCAACGCTGCCAAAAGCCGCCGTGGGTAACCGCTCCGAGATATCGGTAGCCAATTTGATAACAGTGTTGATCAGATATACATGGTGTTTACTTAAAGACGGTGTCAAACTACGGTGAACTCTCTGAAATCTCTACCCTACACTACCCAAAATCTAAGGCCCTACTTTGAGGGTAGGTATGATCTCTAGTTACTGAGCGGCTTATTACACTACTCTGCCAACCAGGCCCTAAACCATTCCGAAGGCGAACGTCAAGAGCGTTAGACTTACTCTCATGGCGCCAACGAAGCTTGTATTTGTTAGTTTTCTTTTTTAAATTTCAACTAAAACTTTAAAGCTCTCGGCTCGTAAATGCTTCTTCGTATAATCTTTGTAAATAAATCCGATGTCATTGTACAAATCTATCGAGCACAATAAAAGTTATTTTTATTTGCTGCACGACATGGCGATAGCAAGACAAAATGGCTGTGCGAACCAGAGGAACCTAGCTGCCCAAGTGTTATTACACTGCCCTATATACATATAATATCATCATGAAGTATTATTTAATATTCGAGTGTGGTAACCTGAAATATTCTTTAATATTTCACGATGATATACTCGAGTAATTAAATAATCAAAAATTGTCACCAAAATTGAGTACAAAAAACTTGCTTGAAAATTACCGACACCTCCCTAACTTAGCGTAAAGTTACCTTGAAATTGGGTAGTGTAATAGACACCTTAAACATGTTTCGGAGCATATTTACATAACAAGTCAACACCTGCGTCATCATAGTAATGCTCTGGCCGCACGGAGACGGGAGCGAGAATTAATTAAGTTCAGGCCACACAGACGCGGTATTGCGGGGAAAAGCGGTCCGGGGGCGGAGCTGCGGGAAGTGAAGGCGTGCCAGACAACGCGTAGTTTACGGCGGGACTGTAGCGCGAAGGCAGCGGGTATGACACCAAAAGCGTCACGCCACACTTCATTTTCAACCTTTTTTTTTTTACAGATAAACCTAACACCATAACTTCTTCTTTTATTAGCACTAATCCTGAGAAAGTTCCACATTCCACTAGGAAGTACTATTTGCTTTGGACAGACACATACTACCATTTGCTATCCAGGTTTTCTTTTTTTTACGATATCAAATGACGGGATGAACAAGTCGCGGCCCCAGTGATATAATAAGATAAAAAATAGTATACTCACGACTTTGATTTAGCTCCTTGGAAATATTTTCCCAAATCATTTCCTTCTTTAAACTGTTTCTATAATTTCTATCACATGTATTCAATAAACTGGAGAAAGACTGCACCAATGACATAAGTTTTCCGGTCGAATTGACCTTGAAACTTAATAAAAACACACTCCACAGTCGTAACAAATACAACCTCCAATGCGGCGCGGGAGTTGTATTCCACTGAGTTCTATGCAACCGTCCACACAGAGCGGTAGCAGTGGGACGCGATCCAAGACCGGGGATTTAGCGGGCTCAGACGTTGTATTTTTTTTACAACTGTTACTGTGTGTGTGTTTTAATTAAGTTTCAATACAAGCTCTTTTGCGTTGCTTTCGTAACGTTAATAAAAGCAGAAAATTTTCTAACTTTATCCGACAGCGGTATGGTGTTTTCTTTAAAATCTGTGCGAATATGTAATAAAATTACACGTGATTGCTTTTGGTGTCACACGGGCCATTCATCCCTGGATGGAACTGCAGTATTGCACGCCCCGGTACGACTTTCGCCCCCGGACCGCTTTTCCCGTTGTACCACCTCTGTGTGGCCTAAGCTTAAAGTACATGTGAAAGATGCGCAGAACAAAACATCCTCATTTGCCTAAGGACTGCAGGGAGGAAAAAAAAGAAAAAAAATAGATTTTTAACAAGTGAAGACGCATTAAATACGCTATAATTATCGGAGCACAAAGAATACCGTTTTACATTTTGGTGGTAAGCGACACGTCCATAGCAGTTGCAGTGCCACTCAGAGCTTGAAATCGCAAAGATCTGAAGGGCACTCCCATTGCGCCCTGAGCACCCTTACCCAGCAAAACCGGACGCAGTAATCCTCACATTACTGCTTGGCAGCAGGTACGTAAATGTAGATAGATTGCGTCGTATATATAACCAGAAATAGAGACGAAATAAGGATAATCCATCCCTGGCAACTCATCAGTCAAATGGTACTGATATCACTTTTAGATATCAAATCTCGTTTACGCTGAAATCACAAATTAGAAAGCTGAAATAGTACAACGCCAACATCTGACCTGTGTGTACGCCTCCGTATATTTAAAAAATATTCTGTATTTATCGTAATAAAGATAATATGTCTAACTATGAGCAAAACATTTAATTACAAAACAAACGGAATCACATTTCATCGGTAACGAAATATCAATTTTTTCAATTTTCGTCCATTATAGCAAAGCTCAAGTTAAACTGATCGATTTGAAGTGAAACAATTGACGACACCCGTCAATTATTTCTAATTCGGGCTGACCAATCGGAGCGCAGTTGTCACCGTAATGATATGGCAGAATAGTTTTCAAACAAATTAAATGACATTTCGTCTCCATTTCTGGTTATATACTCGATGGTAAATTCACACATCAGCGAAATTATACGAGAGTTTTGCCTACCTCGGTCCCTAGGGTAAATGTAATAATAATTGACACACAATACATTCAATTACTCTTAATTACACATCCATTTTATGCTTTCCCCTTTCTCCGGTCAGGTTTCTCCTGGAAGTACCCCCCTGCTCCGGGCACTAGTTTCACCCCGCTCCTAGCCTCTTGTCTCTTAGAGGCTCGCCTATCGACGTCCTGTGGAGAGTGGTCCGAATCCGTCACTATACCTTGCAGACGATGTGTGTTTGTTTGGCTTAATCTGAAATATATACGTTCTTAATATGAAATAATACGGTTCATTTTGCTTGGGCCGAGCGGCAGGGAGGGCACTTATTTCGGAATTTATTATTTTACAAACGAAATTAAAGCCATTTGGAAAATGTATATCGTATACTATACGTTACTCTATTTAGTTTAGTTGATATAAAAAATAAATCATTGGTATATGTCTATAGAGACGCAATAAGGGCCATATATTCCTGGTAACACATTAGCGATATAGCTCTTATAAATATCAACTTTCGTTTGCACTGAAATATAGACAGGCCAACAACTGACCTGTGTGTACGTCTCCGTATATTCCAAAAAATATTCTGTATTTATTGTAATAAAGATAATATCTCTAACAATGCCGTGCTGTTCTATTCGGTGGTGTGGGAAAAACAGCAAAACATCTAATTACAAAACAAACGTAATCACTTTTCATCGATAGTTAAATATTAAATATGTAATTTTGCAATTTTCGTCCATTATAGCAAAGCTCAAGTTAACTGGTCGATTTGAAGTGAAACAGTTGACGACACCCGTCAATTGTTTCGAACTCGGGCTAGCCAATCGGAGCGCAGTTGTCACAGTAATGATATGGCAGGATAGTTTTCAAACAAATTAAATGACATTTCGTCTCTATTTCTGGTTATATACTCGATGATGTAGAGTACCTATTGTATACAACGGTTAGGTAAGTTTGTGTTCTTTTTCTATAGTGACAATTTTTAGGAATCGTATTATCACAACGTATAGTAATCAGTGTATATCCTCAATTGTACTATATATTTTTTCCAAAGCGATTGATTCAACACTCTCACTGTTATGCGGAACCAACCAAAGCCATTTGAGGTTGTAAAGACTCGTAAGGGGGAATAACAGAATGTTTTCTGTATGCTTTACAATACATCCTGTATATGTTCTGTGTTACTGTTATTTATAATGATATAATCAACAGCGTTTTATTACACGAACTGATAATTTTTTTTAGAGTTGATCGACTCACTTTCATGCAAAGGTCACTTCATTGTGTTGGAAGAAAAACATTCGGGACAGCAGTAGTTAGTCAAATTCAATAAAATGGTTTTTTTTATACAAAATGAACTCAGTTTTTTATTGACAAGGACAGTAATAAGAAGATACTCAGTTTTTTATAGGGACAATTTCATTGTATCTGAACAAAATATCGAAACAGCAGTTGGTCAAATAAAAAAAAAATGTTACAAAGTCGAGTATACTATGGAATAATAATATATAAACATAATATAATATTATTGAACAAAGAGTAAAAATTTGTGCATAATAATGTGTTCGTACAGATGTAGGAAAAGATATATTCCTCACCTGACCTCCTCGACATCAGCAACCTTATCAATAAGACTCCGAATGATGCCCTCTTTGTGCTCAAGCGCAATAGTGGCCCTCTCGAGCTCCCTGCGGTACTCTGCCTGCGCGTGCGCAGCTTTTCGCTCCTGCTCTACGATGCGCCTCTCTAGCTCATCTAGAGACGTAGAAGCGCGAGATTTCACTACCTATCAATTAGAGTTAAACTGTAAGTAACATCAATTCCTACCTTTTATTTAACAAAAAAAATGAGGAGGTTCTCAATTCGGCAGCATTTTTTGTGTGTATGTTACGCGAAATTGTGAACCAATTTCGATGATTCTTCTTTCGTTGGAAAAGGGGTACCTCAGTAGTGTGGTCCCATTCAAATTTGAAGAAAATATTCCGTCTAATCTCTATAAGGGTGGCCAATTAAAGAACGAATCCGATTTATTGGATTTCTTATTTCACCCACCTTCCGTTAACCGATTTCATTAAATTTATCAAATAAATGTAATTCCATAAACCTTTGAGGGCGGTTTTTTTATAAAAAAAAGTTGTATAATTATTTTAGTAAATAAATAGATTTTTAATTTCTTTTCCCCGGACTTGCGTTTTCTATAAAATAACGTTCGTTCGTTCTAAATACTATATACTTTTTTTATGCATATTACAGGTCTCATATTTAAAAGTAAGGAAATCACTTAGTGTTATGTTTACTTTCAAACATGGAACCTATAATATACATAAAAAGGGATATATTAAAAACAAAAAATGGTATTCTCAGTATATATTAGAGAACATGCAATAAAATAACGTAACATGTTTCTTGTAGTCAAAATTTAAAAATATACTTAGACAAGCAAATTAATAAACAAAAATAAATTAGATATTTAATTGTTTTAAACAATGAAATATCTTAATAAACGAATAAATAATGAAGTATGAATAAAATAATGGATATATATATTTTTATTTTATATAAATTATAAGTGCGCATTTGACCTTCATCTCACCTGATGGAAAGTAGCGATGAGGTCGACGATGGAGCATACACACCTAAATAATGCCTATTCACTCTTGCCTTGAAAAGGCCCAAGTTATAACGTTCAGGGAAGAAGTCTGCAGGCAATAAGGCAAATAAATGTGGAAGCATAACGCTTCGTGCGAATCTTTGGATTATCCACAACATAGGGGTGGAACCCCAGCGTACGCCTGATCCCCCGGTGATGAAAAGGGGAAGGCGGAATTTAATATACTAATTATTATAGTTATAAAGCTTAATACAGAGAGATTAGTTGTTGTCTTTAATAAAATCTTATGCTGGAACTTACGTGGAATGTACATACATATATATCATCACGCCTGTCTCCAACCGAGGTAGGCAGAGACTATGGACCTCCACTTGCTACGCTCCTGACAAACCTCCTTCGCCTTCTCTACTTCCATCAATCTCTTCATACATGCCCGTTTATTATTGGTACTTTTAACCCGGCCTTTTTTAAGGACATCCTCAATCTGATTGATATATGTTCACCGACGTCTACCTCTCCCCACGCTTCCATTCACATTCGCTCTATAAATTTGTGCCGTCAATCGACCAACATTCTTTCTACATGACCAAACCATCGAAGCATCCCTCTGTCTTTCCTTGTCACTACATCATCTTTCATACCACAACGCTCTCTTACCTCACTGTTTGGCATTCTATCTTTAAGACTAATACCGCACATATTGCGCAAAGCTCTCATTTCTACAGCATTAACTCTACTTTCATGTTTTTTCTGCCACACCCAACACTCACTACCATACATTAGGGTTGGGACCAGCACGCCCAGATGAACAGCCAAACGTGCCTGTTTTGAGACATTCTCGCTACCCATTAAGGCATACAGGGCTCCATTCACTCGATTTCCGGCTTGCACTCTCCTCTCTACGTCCCTTTCACATTTAACATCTCTTGTCAACAAACTACCCAGATACACATGAATGTGTCGTAATAAACCCACCTTAATTTCACTCTTGATTTTCTCCAACGTATCAAGTGCATGTCTGAGCGGCTCAGCTGTACTCTTACTCTTTCTCGCACTCCTGCGCACTTTTGTTATCCTTGCACTTGCTGCCTTTACACGTTGGCGAAATATAACCGCGGCTTTTCGGTACAACCTGAATCAAAGAAATTAAAAACAAGCTGTAACAAGTAACGTGGCAATCAAATATATAACGCACACACTCAACATAGCCCCGCACTAGGGAAACCCTGTGTCGCGGGTGCCATGGACACACACATAGACAACCACAAATTACACCCAAACTCACGAGAGAAATAATTGTAGGCTATACAACTATTTCTCTCGGCCCGGGAATCGAACCTGGGACCTCTGCGTGGCAGTCCGGCATGGTAACCGTTCGGCCACGGAGGCAGTTAAAAATGAATTAATCTTACAAGATCTTCCCAAAGCCAGACGATATTCCACTTAAATAGCTAACGCTTTACTTAATAATAACTATTCATTTACATAATGATGAGACCGATAACTCTAAGAGGAAGCGTGGTCAGGTATTCAGTACCTCTTGGTACAACAGATGTCGCGATGAGTGCCAAATAGTTATTTTTGTAACTGATGGGTTTTGCATTAACGAGCTGCAATTTATCAATGCGATTCTAATTTCTAGTGATAACAAAAAGAATAACTAGATGGCGCTTATTGCACAGATTTCATGAGTAGCGCCGGGTTACCTATCACTAGTCCGAAATGACACTTTCCTGAAATAACGTTTGCTCGAATTTTCATAACTTCGAAAGTAATTTTGAGAGGAAAAGGTATTTTCTTTTAAACCTAACTTAACCTAATCTAACCGAACCTAATCGTGTCTTTGCGATAAATATCCAACATATCGTGAAAGAACAACCGTTTCGTTATAATTCGGTGTAATGAAAATTCGAACAAACGTTATTTCGGAAAAAAAATTCGAGTTTGTGATAGGTTCCCGGTCGGAGATCAAACCCAGGACCACAGAGATGGCGACATCATGAAAACCAGTGTGCAAGCCACTCGACCAAGGAGTTCATCAATATTCTCTCGGTTCTTATATTGGAGTAAGTGCAAATAATGAAATATTGCCAAAAGTCCCCTACACATAAGCCACAGATATCATCATATGATATGATGAATTGGTTTGGTTTCTAAAACAGTTTTCCCTGTGCGTGGTAGATGATGAGTCTTAAGAAACCCTTTGTTATATAGGAAATGGACGTGGTAATATTCCTTCAGGCTCTATGTCGTATTTGGGGAGCACATGGGATGAATCTTTAAAGAAACACAAAAACTCTCACCTAACATTCTTTAGCGCTGTTCTGAGCTCCTCCTTAACAACCTCGTGTTCCTGACAAACTTTGTGGTACTTCTCTTCCAAAGTCTTCGCTTGTTCTTCTAACTTCTTAATGTGTTCCGTCTTACGCTCGTTTTCCATGCTGTATTGGTGTTTTAATTCTTCTAGAAGTCTGCAAAAAGAGTATTAGCGTATTTTATGTAAATAAAGTTTTAATTCACAATTCTTCGAAATTTCTTGATAGTATTTGAAAATTAAAAAAAACCAGCTTCTTTATTATTTCAAAGTGTCTAACTGCTATATGAAACCGCAATTTTGAACGTCGTTTTATTCACTAAATCCTATTATTTATTTAAGCTACAGAACAATAAATTCAGCAGAAGTGCTTAGTTTGCATGCCACGTGTGTCAACAGCACGCGAAGTTCCATATAGTCTCTCAACTCAATATGCCATTTCGCTTTGTGCATTATGGTCGTGTCAATCGTCTCGCGCAAAACTAATTTGGCGAGCAAAAATGATAAACGCATTATTTATGGTACTGTGTCAATATCATCGTTAAGTCTTATTTTATTTAATTTTAATACAAATGCAATTTTTTGTATATCGTAATATTTTTTTATGTTACAAGAAGCGAAAGTAAGCATTATACTGCTGCAATGCAATATAGTCGCATCGAATTAGCGACTCGTTTAGTTATTAACCGCTAGATGACAGCACATTGATTGAAATTTCAATATAAAGTCAAAAAAAACATCGTAACTTGCAATAATAATTATTGAACTTTCAACGATATGCCAACAGGGTAAAGGTAAATTATATAAACTTATATGTCCAGAATTTTTTTATTTTTAAATTAGAAACTACAAACAATTATTGTCAAGATTTTGTAACATTTCAAAATTATGACTACGTGAGTTTTGGCGACAGCGGTTTTGATAGGAATAGAGGCTTTAGGTACTTCCATTCTTTTTTCTTCTTCCGTGATTTAAGGACATATTCACGCCTAATAACGTCACCTACAAAACGTAAAGAATTTGTGCATTTTACACGTTAAAACCTATATCACCAATGAAGGCCTCCATATTCCCAACGAATTGTCTACACTTTTGATTTGTTTGATTTCTCTATTTATATGGTTGTTATTTAATACTGTAAGAATGCTGATATTTTAATTGTATTTTTATTTTATTTTTTAATAACGCACGCACTCATAACCCAGCACTAGGGAAACCCTGTATCGCAGGTGTTTTGGACACATATAGACAACCACAAATTACACACAGACTCACGAGAGACATAAACGTAGGCCTCCGGGACCTCTGCGTGGTAGGCCAATATGGTAACCGTTACTTTTTTTTTATAATATCAGATAATTATATCGCTGCTATAGAGCAAGGGTATTTCTTGCAGTCTCAGTTTTACCGGAGTCTACTTGAATAGCAAGTCCAAGACGGTCTGAGTCCGTGTGTTTGTAACATATTCAAAAAGGAAAACTCAGAAGTAGCAAAAACGTGACAAACAGACAAGACATACCTCTTGCAGTGATCCAATCGTCGTTCATGCAAATCCGCCGGTACAGTTCTCGCTCTTAATACATCTAGTTGAGCAACTTTACCCTCTGTCGCTTCTAAAGCACTTTTCACCGCGAAATACTCGCGATGCACTGTTTCGTAGTCTCGCATCATTGCTGCCACTGGCGAAGGAAATGTTGACCACTTAACAGTGAATGGGCATAACACTTTAAAAAAGGGGATTATTTTATTTTATTGAGGGATGTTCAATAATTGTACAAGGCTTATAACCGTATAGCTATTTGTATAATCAAGCTCACTATCCACAGATTACAAAAATATAAAATTTTTAAATGAAGCGTTATCGCTATTGATTAAAAAAGTACAATACGGACATGAAATAAAATTAAGAAACAAACAAACTTATTAACATACAAATACATATAACATTACAAAATACATTTTGAAGATAAATAAATAAAAACAGTTTCAAAATCTAACTACAGTGCCATACTTAATGAATTGGCATTAATTAGTTGGGCATGCTCCATTGTCGACCTCATGGGCACTTTCCATCAGGTAAAATGGAGGTGAAAAAAAACAAATGAATGCAAAGTCCAAGTGCCAGGAAAGTGGCAAATCGAAACACGCATGACGATAAAATCTATTATGTCTGTTAATTAAAAGTGAAACTTACTTTTATCCTCGTAAAGCTCATAAACCTCTTTCAGCTTACATTCCGCCCTCTCCGCTCTCTCGATAAGCGTAGCTTTCTCAATATCACCTGTCTCTTTCTCAACAACGAGCTTTTTATAGCCTTGTCTCAGTCTTGCTAATTCCTCTTCTAATGATTGCACTCTGTCCGTTAACGATTTGTTCTCTGATATTATTTGTTTGGATTTTTTATTTACATTCTCGAATTGTTTTTCGTAATCCAAAATGAGGTTGTCTTTTTCTTGCAAGTTTTCTTGGTACGCGTCGAAGAGAGGAGCTGGAAACAGAAAAACAGGTTGATAAAGCAATTCATCGCCTTATAATAAAGTTCAAAGTCAGTCAGTGAGCAATCTTTATATTGCTATACTTGGAGTTTCTTTGTCCAATAGTAAGAACGGCAGAGATGAAGTGAAGCAACAATGAGGCGAGCGACGGTATTGCTGTCTCTATTACTTATCTGTCAAACTTTAACAGTGTTGCCATTTAGAATAAGTAAAAACAATAGTAATAACAACTTTGGATTCAATTGACAACCGTGCCGAGAGGCTTATAGGTGACTCGGAATTGGTGGAGGCGAAGCTGCAGAGCCTTGAACACCACCGTAAAGTTGCCTCCTTATCGGTATTTTACAGGATATATCACGGCGAGTGTGCGATGGAATTACACGATTTAATTCCGCCTTCCCCTTTCCATCACCGGGGGACTAGGCGTAGGCTTGGGTTCCACCCCTGTGTTGTGGATATTCCAAAGGCGGATCTTTACGAAGCGTTACGCTTCCACATTTAAATGGCGAACGGCCATGGAGTGGAATTCCCTGCCTGCAGACTTGTCCCCTGAACGTTATAACTTGGGCTTTTTCAAGGCGAGGATGAATAGGCATTATTTAGGGGTGCATTCTCCATTGTCGACCTCATCGTCACTTGCCATCAGGTGAGATGGAGGTCAAATAAACAAAAAAATACCAAACGGCAACCCTGACCCAGGAAAACAAAGTATCAATACCACAGGACTATCGTTCTCCTTTTATGATTGCAAAGCACTAATTTTGCACGAAACATTCGTTGGAAAACCTGAGTGTTTTAACTCATATAGTAAATGATGAGTTTTTCTAAATAGGTTTCAATCTGGGTGTTCTGGGTAGTGTTTCGGGAATTATGTTACATTGGCTCTTTCAGAGAGAATTCTATAGTTTGAAACAGGGTTGCTGCGAACATCAGCATCCGCGGATAATCTGTTTCAAATCTGTTTAAAATATCCGCATCAGCATTCACATTCATCGATGCTGATATTCATTGCAGCTATTTGAGTCGTGACGTGACGTAAAAGCAGGCTGGAATAATTTACAAACCTTCCAGAAACAAAATCTAAGGAGTAAAAGCAGCTCGGCTGTTGTTTTTAAAATATAAGTTTGAGAAAATTTTGTTAATTGTTTGCTGATTTGTTAATAAATGTCACAAAATAATATTTTATTACAATACTAAAAAAAATAGAAATCAAATACAAATAATTTATTTGCATGTCACAGTTAAAGCATACAAAATACAATTTAAGTTGGTAGATTATTATTGCAAAGTATCAAGTGACGCCCTGTAAGGCGTAGCAAATTACACAGGGATTTTTATAATAGATTTAATAAATTTACACCAACAAAATACGTATTTCAAACAATTTCAATATATGCATTAAAATCATTCAAGATAATAAGAAAGCTTTTACATGTAGATAGATTCAGTAAGGATGTACATTTTTCGCGTTTCTACTGGAACCATTGAACCATAATGCTTTTTGGATTCGCGATTTGTGATGCCAAATAAACATAATATTATTATCATTTTCTTTTCTCAGCCCGTTGTTGGCTGGTTTTAACTGCATTTATGGATGGATCTTCTATTTTTTTTATAATATCAAGTGACGGGACGAACAAGTCGTGTACCTGATAGTAAGTTACGCGACTGTCCATAACAGTTGCAGTGCCACTCAGAACTTTAAGTCGCAAAGATCTGAGGGGCACTGCCACTGCTCCCGTCACCCTGACATATAAGTTGACAAGTCCCATGTGCCTGTAATATCACCAGCACTCTTCTAAACCGGAACGCAGATACGCTCATATTACTGCTTAGCAGAAATAGGTAAGGTTCTATCTGCACAAAGTTACTGACAATTCGGTATGTATTTAAAAATACAGTTTTTGTAAGGTAATACAGAGGGTTTCTTTAAAATGTAATAAAATTGAGGCTATAAAGAAGATTACTTGGGATAATTATTATAATTTACTTACCTAGTGCTTGCGCACTCAACAATCCAGAAAGGTCGACAACTCTTCCGTGAGTTTGATCATCGTGACCACTTTTATTGGAATTCGCGTCATCGGGGTCTGGAAAATGTCATTCAACACAATATACGTTATGTTTTGATCAGCTATCTGAGATAGCAGCTCGGGTGTCTTCTATGTTCTCAGTATTTTACTTAAATATTATCATGGTGCATACATACACTGAGTCCAATCAGTTACATTTGTATGCATAATTTATGTATGCATTATTCGTATGAAAAAACTTGAAATCCAAAATAAGTGAAGTAAAAAAGCTTAATGATATAAAAACTATTATATCACCGCACATGAAACAATAGGATTGTTCATACAACTTCATTAAACAGGTTTGTTTGCAAAATACTAATAACTTCGCAGGTCTGTCTTATTAACATCATCATCAACTGTTCGTCATCTTCAACATCAATTGTTCCATGACTTATACCAAAAATTTACCAATAATAAACTTATAAGTTTTTGTTGTAATATCTGAAACTTTTTAGATGTGTATTTCGATACCTCCAATGAACATTATGCAGAATTAATTTTCGGACATATTCCGTTTTTATTTTGTTTTTTGTTTCTTTATTTTTTTCACAAAATTCGAGTAGCATAATATTAGTTTATAAAAATAGCTGTTTACAAAAATAACAAACAATGCCAAAAAAAAGGTTGTAGTAAGTTCAAACTTGCAAGCGACCTCCCGAATATCTCCAACCCCGCTCCTGCATTTTTTATTGGACTATGGTACTTTTTACAGACCTCTTTCTTTTGTTAGGTACCGCGCTGAGTTATCACCGTTAAGAATGATTTATACAATATTTTTATTTTTGAACGAAAGTAAAATCTGAAGAATTATTCAAAGGAATGGACCAATAGTTGTTTATGATGTTGGTAACAGACGCCTGTGAAGTTGTTAGTATTTTACAAATAATAAATAGTACGCTGGTTGACAATCTTAAAACAGAACAAGTGGTCATAACACGGCAGTGCTTTATTTTCCTCTAGTAGATTTTTTCAGGGAAGGCTACAGAAGCATAAGCAGGCAATCGATGCCCTGGATTGAAAAAATTGAATGAGGAAGACACAAGATCGAAAACAATGGCATACACTGAAAAAGATCTACACTCAGCATATAGTGGATAGCGGTTGAAAAAGTAAAATTTTAATTAAGTCTTATTTTATAATATAAAGTGACGGGACGAACAAGTCGTGCGTCAGAAGGTAAACGATACGCCTATCCATAACAATTCCAGTGCCACTCAGAGCTTTAAACCGCAAATCAAATCAAATCAAATCAAATCAATTTATTTGCAATAAACATGGTGGTCAAGATAACAATAGAAAAATTATGTACTACATGTTTAGCCAGACAGATTGTGGCATGCAAATATGGGTCGTCACGCAACTTTTAAATCTAAACATTAATATTTAAAATCATTATACCTGCATACACATTATACACTATATCAAAAAATCTCTAACAGTGTAATATACCTTATCCTTCAAAAATTCATGCAATTTAGTTTTAAAAGCCCTAATTGGTAAATTTATTAAATCTCTAGGTAGTTTATTATAAATTTTTATACACATGCCTATGCAGTTACAGCTATATTTTTCCAGACGAGGTAAATCAAAGTAGACTAATTTGTTAGGATTTCTGAAACTTCTAGGATTAATGTCAATATTTTTGGTGAATAAGTGCCAATTTTTTTTAACAAATATACTGGCTTCATAAATATATAAGGCAGGCAAAGATCTGACGAGCACCGCCACTGCGCCCGTCACCCTGAGACAAAGTTTACAAGTCCCATGTGCCTGTAATATTACGACCAGAAACACCTACAATCAACAAAAAGGCGAATTGCCATCATATTTTCTACAGGCGCTACTATGGTGGGGTTTAGTAAGGAACATCTCCTGTAGACCACATGACAGCAACGCTTTACGGATGCAATATATATTATACACAATTTCTTACCTTGTCCTTTCCAGCCCAGATTAGCAGAAACCATGGAATCTAGATCCAACTTTTCACTAGGCTTGTAAATATTTTCGGACTTCCCATCAGAACCAAGGGTTTGTACGTTGTTACGTATTTTCTCTTGATACCGAGATAGTTGAACGTTGAGTCTGAAAAATAATATTAATAAATATAGAATAATAATAATCGTTTATTTCTCCTTCCACAAAGTAATAACACTAGGTACTTACTAAGTTTCGGGCTTTCGGGTAGGAAATGAAATTATTTTTCGGATCTAAATACCGTAACGTTTCGGGCCAGTGATGAAAGAGACTCAGTCTTTTAAGGCTTTTTATAACGACTCGACTCCATTTTACAGGCTTCGACTCTAAAATTAAAACTAGGGGTTCGAGTTTTTATTATTAAGACTCAGTCGTTATACTAAAAGGCTCAAAAGACTTAAACGACTTGAACGACTTGAAAGACTTAAACGACTCGAGTTGTTTGCAAAGGATTTATACCTATTTTATGTCTTATTAAACCCGAAGTTTATAAATAAAAATGACGTAAGTAGTATCTAGTAAATAATCACGTTTATTTACTTATAATAAAAATCGTAAAATAAATACCTTGTGGGTAGAATAAAAAACACGCCATATGGCTCATGACTCGCGACTCCCGAGGCTGTGAGGCGCCAGTTGTTTTAGTCTTTTTAGTCGTTTTAGTCTTTTAAGCTTCCTAGGATTAAAAGACTTCGACTCGAATTAGTCTTCAGTTTTAGTCTTGACTCAAGACTTGAGGGTTAAAAGGCTAGAGTAGTCGTGAGGCGTTGAAAATAATTCGACGTTCTTTAAAAGGCCTTAAAAGACCGAGTCTCTTTCATCACTATTTCGGGCCCTTTACATCTCCCATGGTCAAATATTATTCCAGCAAAGTCATATTCTTATAAATTTCATCGCTCACGAGGCGATATTTCAAGGTCAGCCAGCGAGCAATCCTGAGTGTTTCTGTACAACAGCAGGAAGGCCAAGGGTATTGAAAGTCCGTCTTCCTGGCTCAGTGTTACTGTTTATACTGCCCTTTACATGTCCCGTGGAACTCTGAGTCAGTCGTGACCATGGGACCTGTTAAGGGCCTGAAACGTATGTTTGTTAGAAAAAACAAATATAACACACTCATAAACACTCGCACTCATAGTCCCGCACTAGGTAAACAATGTGTCGCGGGTGCCATGGACACACACACAGTCAACCACAAATTACACCCAAGCTTACGAGATAAATAAATGTAGGCCATACAAATATTTCTTCTGGCCCGGGAATCGAACCCGGGGCCTCTGCGTTGCAGACAACCAAGGTAACCATTCGGCCACGAAGGCAGTTGTAATATACGTGATTTAAATCGGAAAAATAGTTTAATTTAATAAATATAAAATCAGTTACACTTTTAATTATATCCCAAGCAAACAGACGGTCCAACCGATTGAAAGTGATTTACCCTCGCCTATTTGCATAGACATAACAATTTGCACAGAGAATCGAACCTACGACAGCACGAAACTGATAAGTCGCATACTAGCACGACGTTGTTCTCTACTAAGAATCTATGATCACAAATCTCGAATTGCTGTTTACGCATGGTGCGTGGCTAGCACAAAATCTAAACTAATAATCTCCTGAAGAATGTTTTCACTAAACATCGTTCAAAATTAAATGTTGGTTTTAACGGTTATTAGCCGTAGCGCCATCTGTGAGAAAACTATGAAAGTTTTTCGTCTCTCAACAAGGTACCTTTACAGCTATCAAAGGTTGACAAAAGATGTCGCCTTATAAATTGTAGTATTAATTGTAATGAATATTATCATGGCCCAGGGGGCCTACCACAACCTCTTAAAACAATATTACTTTAACCTTACATTGATTTTTCGTACCATGACGCGATTATGACAGCGACATCTATATGCTCCATGGCGACACTAACAGTTGACACTAGACTAAAATACCGAATTCATAACGTGACAATCATAACTCAGCTAGTTTTCTTTATTTTTCTTCATGAAAATGCCGAAAAACAATTGAAAACAACGTAATTTTAATAGATTTCATTATTACATACTTTTCTTTTTTGGCAATTAAAATTCTCTGAATGTAAATAATATTAAGTACTAAAAAAGAAAGAAATGACATTATACAGTTCATATAGCGTTATTTCTTTCCTATTTTTAGTAAGGAATAGACAATATTGGGAAATCATTCGTTCTTTCGGTCACTTTAGCAATAATACATTACTTGGTTGATAGGTTTGTCATGGTACGAATATGAGTAATATTATAATAAGCTTACTATAAGCTTACAATAAAATAAGATTGTTTTTTCGAAGGTTATGGTAGGCCCCCAGTAGCTCAACAGGACTGCTAAGCTTCATACTACAGATCATAACTCTGAAAAATTCCGTATTATATCTAGATGGCGCTGATCAATGGCCTGGAAGTAGTTTACATTATGTAAATTCCCGTGGATATCAATCAATTCCTCTTTAATATGAAATATAAGAAGTCAGTTCTTTTTCCTTCTAATATTATTCAAATTTTGATCATGAGCTAAAATTATCATCTGAACGTTGATAAATATGCGTGTCAATAGATTGCACTGTGTGTTACGACCTAAGTTATAAATTAACGCTTCCTAATTTGGGCAGATGGCGCTAATACTAAACAAAATAAAATAATAGCCTGTTATGTATGGACAACACACGGAAACCGCTGTGATGCAATCACCCAATTATTGCGACTTTCGACACGAGGCGCCATCCCAGTGCAACGTGGTGGACCAGTTGCAGCACGGGGCGCCCGATGGAGCGGAACGTGACGACAGCACAAGCCATCTTCGGAAACCGGACGTGTGCAATCGTCATTTTTGATTTTGACATCGATCATTAGATACATAATTTTAGTTTAATAATTTTATTGTAATTTTTATTTTAAAAAGAAAGAAAGCTTCTTCAAAGGAACATCTGAGGATGGCACACGTCCGGTTTCCAAAGATGGCTTGTGCCATCGTCACGTTCCGCTGCATCGGCGCCCCGTGCTGCAACTAGTCCATCACGTTATGCCACGTTATGTCACTGCCATGGCGATGGCGCCTCGTGTCGAAACTCGCAATAATTGGATGATTGCAACATAGCGGTTTCCCTGCGTTATCCATACTTAACAAGCCGGCACTATCCACAAAAATCTGTGTAATCTAGTTTATTTGTTTTTTATCACTAGAAATAAAATAAAAGAACAGCTTTGACTGCAGCTTGTCAATGTAAAACTAATTAGTTACAAAAATAGCTATTTGGTACTCGTTGCGACATCTGGTGTACCAATAGGTACTAAATACCTGACTATGCTGTCTTATGTAGCGATTTTTTGTAATATCAAGTGAAGGGACGAACACATCGAGTATATAACCAGAAATAGAGACGAAATGTCATTTAATTTGTTTGGAACCTATTCTGCTATATCATTACTGTGCTCCGATTGGCCAGCCCGAATTCGAAACAATTGACGGGTGTCGTCAATGGGTGTCATCAATTGTTTCACTTCAAATCGACCAGTTAACTTGAACTTTGCTATAATGGACGAAAATTGCAAAATTACATATTTAATATTTAATTATCGATGAAAAGTTGATTCCGTTTGTTTTATAATTAGATATTTTGCTATTTTTCCCACACCACCGATTGGAACAGCCATAGTTAGAAATATTATCTTTATTATTTTTGGAATTACGAAGACGTACACACAGGTCATTTGTTATCGCTGTACTATTTCAGTGCAAACGACAGTTGATATTTATAAGTGATGTATCACTTATAAATATGTATATGTATGTATCACCAGGAATGTATGGCCCTTATTTCGTCTCTATTTCTGGTTATATTCTCGATGGACGAATAAGTCGTGTCTGATGGTAAAGATCTAAGGGGCATTGCGCCTATCACCATGACAAGTCGCATATGCCTGTAATTTCACCCATTATTAGCGTGTATTATGATGTTTTACTATCATGATATTTCATTAAAAAGCCATACATGTTTTGATAAGGTTCATAAATCGTCATGATGTTGCACTGGGTCAAACATGCACCGATAGCCTGATATCCTGACCTTAAAGGAGCTTAACATAGTAACCCGTATGTGTTATAGAATAAAGTCCAAGTCGTACCTGTAAAGAACATCCTTTAAGGCCTGCATGTCTTTTTGCAACCGCGTGTTGTGTTCCTTCGCCTGATTCAATATGATCTGACGGCTGCTACAGCTCATGCAAACTTCTATAAGAGGTATTGCGGTTGACTCTTTGTGCTCTGCAAGGAAATTACTACATATAATAGTAGAAACTGTAGGTAACCAAGCTTAGTGCATTTTAACCAAATGTTGGTTAAGGTAGAGTAGAAACGGTTTGCTCTGAGCCCTGTTTACTGGCCTGACTAGGTACCAAGCGATATACAACCGCCGGCTGGAATGCCATTTAGGTAAAGAATGGCTGCAAAAATTATTTATTGTTACATTATATCGTGCTATTCATTTGATTTTTATTTGTTTTGTATTAGTTACTGAGATAATGGCAAGCGTGTAAGCGTGTATACTAACTGGCCACCTTGGATTCAATTGACAAGCGTACCAAGATGCTTATAGGTGACTCGGAATTAGTAGAGGCGAAGCTGCAGAGCCTTGAACACCGGCGTATAGGGCTTATAGGGTATTTTACAAGATATATTAGATATATAGACAACTATTTAATGTTGTGTATCAAAGAATAATCCCTTGTAAGATTTTTAAATGATAAATCTCTAAATTCAATGACTTTGATCTTTGACGTTCAAATGCAGGAGGTCTACCACGAAATACTATACTACGTGACTGCGTACGCAACGAAGCTCATACGTACTATAGTCCATTTGTTTATGTACTTAACTAAATGTAAACAATCTTGATACATCTTTTTATTGAAACGCGTTTGGCAAGTTGTACGACATTCTTAGGTCAGCTAAAATTCCACAATGTCTGAAGACCCGTCTATATAATCAGTGTGTTCTGCCTACTATGACTTACGGTGCCGAGACATGGACGCTTACGCAGGAGGCTGTGCATAGGATGAGAGATACACAGAGAGCCATGGAGCATGTCATGCTCGGTCAAGCTTACATACCGTGTTACCAATGTCCAGATTCGAAGTCGAACTAAGGTAAAGGACGTGGGGAACCGCATCACGAAGCTAAAGTAGAGCTGGGCATCTGATAAGATGACAGATGGAGTAAGGGGATAACTGAGTGGCGTCCAAGGACTCCAGTGGCGAGACGGGCGTATGACATCGTAGGAATTGGGGGGCGAACCTGGATGAGATTAGCACGGGATCGTAGGGAGTGGCACAGAAACTTGGAGGCCTATACCCAGCAGTGGGTGAAGTCAGGCTGTATATGATGATGATGATGAAGTACCTAAACAAAGGTGATATGTATTGTACTACATAGTTATAAGCTGATAATATTATCGCGTACCTTTGTAATCTTAGCGCTGTGGTAACTGAGATTCCGGTATTTTTATTAAAAATAGATACTAACGGTCGGTGGTCTGTTTTTAAAATAAATGGTTCGCTACGTCCGTATAAGTATTGATGAAATTTTTTTACTCCAAAAATTATGGCAGTAGCGCCTCCTTCTGGATCTGGCTATAATTACGTTCGTGACACCCGAGCGAGCGAGAGGCATAAGCGAGCGGGCGGTCGCGCTCTTCGGCGTCCCGCTGACTGAGCACAGCGCCTAGGCCAGCCGGCCCCGCATCTACGGCCAGCACGAGTGTCGCCGCCGGCTCGAAGTGCGCCAGCACGCGCTCCGAAGCGAGCTCGCGCTTAACTCGGTTAAAAGCGCTACGCTGCTCTTCACCCCATTTCCACTGTACGCCATCACGCGTCAATTCATACAATGGTCTTAGTATTGACGATGCATTGGGAATAAAATTTCTGTAGTAGTTAACTACCCCTATGAACCTTTTTACTTCGGTGACGTTTACTGGTTCTGGAGCATCCTGTATGGCCTGCACTTTATCAGGATTCGTTCTAAGGCCTTCTTTGCTAATCACATGCCCTAGGTATGTCACCGATTGCTTAAAAAATTCGCATTTTTCTTTTTGCAGCCTTAGACCCGCATCACGTAGCCTACGCAGTACCTCCCGCAGCCTATGTAAATGTATTTTTTTATTCGGTACTGTTACACAGATATCATCCAACCATACACTCACTCCTTTCACACCTGACAAAAGGGATTCCATTGATTTTTGAAATATAGCCGGAGCATTAGCCAGTCCATAAACTAAGCGAGTGTATTTAAATAACCCCTTTTGGGTGTTAATCGTTGTGAGTTCTTGTGACGAGTCATCTAAAACGAATTGATTGTATGCGTTTTTGAGGTCAATTTTACTGAAACATTCACCACCCCCTAATTTTGCGAATACTTCCTCGATTCGAGGCAAAGGGTATTTTTCTACGATAAGGTCCTTGTTTTATGTTAACTGTTACCGAGTAGTCGCCTGCTAATCGGACCTTGCCGTTTTCCTTTGTTATGGGTACAATTGGTGTGGCGTATTTTGAATAGTTAATAGAGACTAATATTCCAAGTTGTACTAATCTTTCAAGCTCTTGTTCAACTTTTTCCTGTAACGCAAACGGTACTGGCCTAGCTTTAAAAAATTTAGGGGTAGCATTTTCTTTCAAATGTAAGCTGACTTTAAACTTATTGAACGTTCCCAATTCATCATGCCATAAGTCTGGATACTGTTTTAATAACTCGGAAACATTCTCGTCCGCGTTCAAAGTAATTTTATTTATTTTTTCCGTAAGTGTTAAGTTAAATGCGGACATAAAATCTCTCCCTAACAAGGGTGGCCCCCATTTTTAATTACAAAAAATTTTATGTTTTTTGTCTCCTTATTGTAAGTTGTCGCACAAACAAGATAACCCAATGGTGATATTTTATGGCCGTCATATAAACACATTTTAACATTTCAATTATACAGCATATAATTTGAAAAATAATTATTGTACAAATTTTCGGAAATAACCGAGGTACCTGAACCGGAATCTAATTCCATGTTAATTTGGTGTGTGCCTATAATTATTTTCAACATAATTGGTTTTACAGACTCATACCTTAAATTAAATATCTGACATTCCTCGCAGTCGGTGTCCTCACCACTGTGAGGGTGTTTCATTTCCTCCGTTGCGTTTGAAATATTGTTCACTTTGAAAACACTGCACACTTTTTTTAAATGACCTTTCATACCGCACTTTTCACATTTGTAATTTTTGTAACGGCATACCAAATCGTTGTGATTTTTTAATCCGCACACAGAACACGTATTTTGCTTTCGATCCCGTTGCTCACGGCCAGCACGCTTGCGCGTACCGTTGCTGCCAGCACCCGCGCTGGCACCGCTCGCCGAAGCCCGACGGAAACCGCTTCCAAAATGCGCTCGGAAAATTTGTTCTTCCTTTACCACAACTGCCTTCGCTTCTCTAGCACAAGCCGCTTGTTCTACTAACTCCAAAGCCCGAGCAAAGGTCAACGTTGACGGTTTTTGCTCGAACAATTTGTCGCGTTCGGGACCTGAACCCAGGCCGCGGACGAATCGATCCCTCAGGTTCGATTCCAGAGCGGTGCCGAAGTCGCAATAGCTTGCCAACCCCCTTAGTCGCGCCGCCAGTCTCCTAGACTTTCGCCTGAACTCCTTGTTGCCCCATGGAAATTCGACATGTCAGCAAATGAACATTCTTTCGGCTTGAAGTGCGTGTCCAGTAATAAAATCAACTCGTCATATTTCAGATCGTCAATTTTCTTGGGGTAAGCCAAATTACGAACCAACCGGTACGATTCGTCCGACAAGTGTGTAATTAATATAGCACTTTTATTTTCCTTTACACTATTTACAAGTATAAACTGTGTTAATCTACTTTTAAAAATAGCCCATTCACTGGTTTTGTGATTAAAAACAGGCAAATATCCCAAAAAAGACATAATGCACTTTTATTTTTTTTCACACGCGTAGGTAGTTTCGAATCTCGTCGCCAGTGAGATATATCGGAGCAAGTAAAAGACCGGTTAGTTTGACGAACGATTTATTACTGAGTATGCGTAGGTGGCAATACAAAAGGTGTGTGTGTGTGTGTGTGTGTGTGTGTGTGTGTGTGTGTGTGTGTG